GGCTCGGGGCTCATGCCCCGGCGTTCAGCTGCCTCTCCAGGGCCGGCGTGTGGCCTGTGGATCAGCAGGCTGAAGCGGAAAACAAGGTCTGAGAACTTGCAACTTGAGAAGATGATGGTTACCAGCCCTGCATTGCCTCAGGGAAGAACAGGAACTACTCTACCATTCTTGAAGTGAAGGTACTTAATGAGAATAGGACAGTGTGGAATGGGGTAAGTGAAGAGAAGAGGATAGAGAAAGATAGCAAGTGAGCAATAGAGAGACAGGACGTTAGTGAGAAACAGATAGGGCTTATTAACTGTTGATGATGACATGTATAGAATTCTCAACTGGATTGGTCTGAGAAGTGTTTCATGACGGGCAAAGTATTTTTAAAAGCAAAACGAGAAATAGCAATTAACTGTTTTATAAAAATAATTAGAATAATAAAGATAATGATTGGGGAAAACAGAAAAGATATGGAATGTTGAAGTGGGGAGATTAATGTCTCTGTACTGACTGACGTGCATGGCATTCCCTTTTGAAGAAACAATGTAATACACTGTAAAGTTATATGTAATCCAATGTAATATGAAGAAGATATGATGATAAAAAATAAAAAAATAATTAAAAAAAAGTTATTATTCTTTGTACTTTATATTTTGAAGCTATATTTTTTTAAAATGTTTAGTGTAAAATTATATAAAATAACTGTTTTTCATTTATTGATCTTGTATCTAGCAACACCATTGAACTCTACTCCTAATTTTTTTTTTTTGGTGGGGGAGAGGTTTTTCCTATAGGGAGTGTGCACTTGCCAGAAAGAGAGAGACAGAGAGACAGAAAGAGAGAAATCACCCCCCAAGGGGGATGGCCACACTGCAATCCCTTCTCCTCTATTCTATTCTCGGGATCTTGGCCATGCATGCACATGCGCCCAGCATGAGTTTAAGTCACTGGGTCCCAGACTCAAACTACGGTTGACCACATGGGAGTCCAGCAACATTGCCATTATGCCAACTGCTGGTCCCTCTACTGCTAATTTTAATAATTCTCCTTTAGAGTCTTGAGATTTTTTCTGCATATGTAATCATATTATCAAATAGGATTTTATTTCTTCCTGTTCAATTGTTACATGTCCTACTTCTTTCTTCTGTCTTACTATATTGAATTATACATTCAATACTATGTTGAAAAGAAATGACAGCAAAACTGTCTTATGTTTTAAGCTTTAAACTAAATATTAGGAAATTTTAGCATTAACTAGCATAACTAGGTTTTCTGGGAAGCCCTTTTATCAGTCAAATGCCTTCTTTGTCTTCTTTCTTTTTTAAAAAAAAAAAAGTGTATGATTTCCTGAGAGACGCACACAACTACCCTCAACAGGATCTTCATGCCATAATCAACACAAGTCTTACAGCCATCTAGAAGCATGGGTATGCCTCCAGGTAGACCCAGGATGTGAACCCAGAGCCTTCTCAGAGAGTCTCCAAAATCATGCAGTAGTGCCCTCCACTGCCAACACCAGCTTTAGGCTGGACCTAAAGCTTTCAGTCTTAGTTCATCTTTACACCGAGGGATTAGTCCTATAGAATGAATAGGCTTCTTACTAAACTCACCAGCTGGGTAGTCCCTGGGCTTTGTTTCCTGTCCCCTCAGACTTTAGTAACTATAAGAATAGAATCTTTAATTCACTAGATTCAATAAATACTCTCAAAATAATATATGACCTCTCTTCTTGACTTGTCTCTCTGGCTTTCCTCTTCTACCTACTTTTGATCTATATTTCCACTATATTTGAATGCTCACAATGCATTTATGAAACAGTTTTAGGCACAGACATGGCTATACAGGCAATAGAGCACCACTGTGTAACATTAGAGCCATTCGGGAGGCTGTGGGTTCACATCCAAGGTCAACCTGAATATTAGGCATGCCTGTGATCCAAGCTCACTGGAAGACCTAATGGGGAGGATCATGGTGTGATAAGACCCTCTCAAGTGTGTCTGTGTGTGTCTCTCTCAAAAAAATGAGTAAACTTTTCTTTCTTTTTCTTTTTTTGAAAGAGGTTTTTTGTTTTTTTTGTTTTTTTTGTTTTTTTTTTCTTTTTTTTTTGGAGAGGTTTTTGCTATAGGGCGCGTGCGCTCGCCAGAAAGACAGAGAGAGATACTGGGTAGTCCCTGGGCTTTGTTTCCTGTCCCCTCAGACTTTAGTAACTATAAGAATAGAATCTTTAATTCACTAGATTCAATAAATACTCTCAAAATAATATATGACCTCTCTTCTTGACTTGTCTCTCTGGCTTTCCTCTTCTACCTACTTTTGATCTATATTTCCACTATATTTGAATGCTCACAATGCATTTATGAAACAGTTTTAGGCACAGACATGGCTATACAGGCAATAGAGCACCACTGTGTAACATTAGAGCCATTCGGGAGGCTGTGGGTTCACATCCAAGGTCAACCTGAATATTAGGCATGCCTGTGATCCAAGCTCACTGGAAGACCTAATGGGGAGGATCATGGTGTGATAAGACCCTCTCAAGTGTGTCTGTGTGTGTCTCTCTCAAAAAAATGAGTAAACTTTTCTTTCTTTTTCTTTTTTTGAAAGAGGTTTTTTGTTTTTTTTGTTTTTTTTGTTTTTTTTTTTTGCTATAGTGCATGTGCACTTGCAGAAAGATAGAAAGACAGAGAGAGACAGAGAGACAGAAAGACAGAAAGTGAGAAATCATCCCTCAGAGGGAATGGTCACATCACAATTCCTTCTCCTCCATTCTCCTCTCGGGATCTTGGGCACACATGCACACGCACCAGGTATGAGTTTAAGCCACTGGGTCTGGACTCGAACC